CTGTCTCCATGTCTACTGCTACAGCTTTTGTTTGGGCTCTCATTATGGTACCTGTCTCCTCCAGACCCATTCCCTTCCCTCCTTATTGAAGCCAGAGTGAGCTCCCTATAAGACCAAACTAATTATTTTGGTCAACAGCTTAAAATACTATAATGACGCATTATTTATTATGCCCCAACCCTGGAAACAACCCAAATGCCCATCAATGGTAGAATGGATAATTAAATTATGGCACATTCATACAATACAGTGCTGTAGCACAACAACAAATTAACAAGCTACTGGTATAACCATCCCCAAGAATGAATCTCATGAATATAACATTGAGCCAAATCAAAGAGATCATTCTGTATGATTTATGCGTATATAAGCTCAAAATAATCCATGATGTTGGAAGGCAGGTGGTGGTTATATTTAGGGAGGAGGGTGAGGTAATGACTGGGTGGGGACATGAAGGGAACTTGCATAGTGTTGATGCCCATTTCTCATCTTGGTGTGGTTAGTTACCTGGGTATGTTCAATTTGAGAAAAGTTACTGAGCTTAAAACTTAACGATTTGTACACTTTGTGTATGTACATTATTCTTAATAAACACATTTAAAAATCCTATAGTGATTCCCCCAGGCCCACAGGGTAAAGTCCAAATTCACAGGATCTCCTCTCTGACCAGCGTACTTCGCAAACTTTCTCTCCAGCTATGCCCCCTGGATGTGTACACGTCAGTCACTCTGGATTTCTTGCAGCTCCCTGAAAAGGACAGTGGGTCTGGTGATTGGAGCACAAATACAGGTTTTTAACGAATGAATTAATTGTGGGGCTGATAATACTTACCCTGCCATGTTTTTGTGAGGATTAAATAAAAGAATATCTGTGCAGTTCTTAGCACAGTTCCTGAAGCATGGCAGACACGCATCACGCGTTAGTGCCTTCCTCTTTTCCCCTCCCATCACTGCCAATGAATGGACCATGAGAATGCAACATTCTTAGGGGGCTGCAGCTGAAGTCACTTTTTGGGAGGTATTGCCTATCAATCTCACTATACATTTGATGGAGTTTACTCCCAAATGTACTGTGGCTTGTCTTCGATTCCCAAGAATACAAATCTTGACACAAATTTGACTTTCTTGGGCATGGTGTTCCTTCCCAAATCCCCTGGAAATATCAGCACATGCCCATTATCTGATAAAGGGATAAAGAACAGCTGCAGCTAAGGAAAGACATTTCAGAGAGTCTGCTTTTACTTTATTTGGGCACTTTAGGTAGATGAGGTCATTAGAAGGATCTGAGAGTTTTTGAACTGCAAGCTGCTGTTCCTACTAGTTGCTATTTTTCAAAATATTATCTTTTTGCTATAAAAATGCTTCCCTTCTCATGCCAGATTTCATAAAGACCTTCCATCTGGTCTGCACTGATAACTAGAATCTTGAGATGCTCATTCCTCTTACAATTTGTAGTTTAAAATGATCCAGATGTAGAAGGATTGGGTTTTACAGCTTCTTTTAAAGGATTTTGTCTTCCTAATCCTACAACTGCACATGTTAAGAACTGATCAACAGGAGACAGCTCTAACAAAGAACCTATTACAAATGTTTCACTGGCTATGTGTATCTTTCATTTGGCATGTCTTAAGGGAATGCAATCATGAAATAAAAGCACTGAAATCTATTAGGACAAGGACCGCAGTGAACCAGGTAATCCGCAGTGGAGGAGAGAGGAAAAAAAAGAGAGAGCTAAAAATGAAAAATAAAATTAGAATCAAATTGTATTAAGAATAGAATTCTCAAGGATTTTGCCAGTTTGTTGTGATTCAGGAATATTCCAATTGACTGAGCAATCTCTATAAATTCTGGTGCTCAGTTTCTTAATCCACAAGATGTGGAAACAGCGACAAATTATGAAAGTAGATAGGATAATGATGAAAGTCCTTTCATTCCCAGGAGGGCAGACTTTGGTAAGTTGACTGAACTGGGCCCCCAGCTTTAGGGGCCATAAGACTAGTTCTAGAAGTGACTCAGGGAGGAGAAAACAAGGGAGAAGTCAACCGCTCTAAGGAGCCGCTGCCCCATTTCCCGCCTTTCTCTTCCCTGTCCACCCGCCTGCGCCCTCCTCACCCATACAGCATACTCATCTTCCGCGTTTCCCACAGTTAATGTTCACGTAATTTCACACATATAACGATGTGGGAGGTAGAGAAGAAAGGAGCATTCAGCATGAGATGCCCAGAGTCACCTCTGCCTTGAGCTGCCCTTGATAACATACGGCAGGAGCAGTAAGTCCTTATTTGGTTGAAATTCACCTCTTGAGTAGCTTCAAGCCTACTTTCTCATCTAAACAAACCTACAGAAATAGAGGGAAGGCCTCCCCATATTAAAATGTTAGATTTAGATCTTTTACTTTTAAAAGGTAGCATAGACATTAAATTCCAAGAAGGACCACAGAAACATAAGAAATGACCTCTGTGTAAAGGTGAGGCGTAGGAAATGGGATGCCTGAGTAATGGGAAGATAACCCAACAGGTCAGGGCATGAGGTTTTCCGTAAAAGGATCTACTTTCATTTTGAAGCCTTGGGATCTTGGTAGCGGTGGGGACGGTAATATGTTGACAGAGAGGCGCTTGAGCCAGATGGGGACCAGGTACTGCTACCAATACATCTCACATCACTCCCCAATAACAGTCTCTCCAAATATTAGGGAATTGAAACATATTGCAGTGTCACCTGGGCTAGAGATGTGTCCTGGATTTTGTCTCTTCCTAGACTCCATCTATGAAAATTCCTGACTTGGTTATTTTTGTCAAAAGGATAGAAATTTATTTGCACGACTGATGCTGACCAGGCATCAATAAGAAGAAATGGGAAGCAAACGTTTTGAATAGACAGCAGAATGGCTAACAAAGGTGACATCAGGGTGAGTTGCAAGGGAGGCTGCAGCTCATGTCTCAAGTGCCCAAGGGAATGGCGCGACCAGGACGATACCTGGGAGCACTTGGTCTGGGAATGCGCCCCGAGTAAAGTCACCATGGGCAGGAGAAAAGCATGAAAACTTGAGTTTATATTTGTGATGTCGATTTCTGTGGAATTTTAAACTTGCTGGCTGGTGGATGAAAATGGTTAATTCCGAATACTTTTTAATACATATAAAAATAATCTGTGAAGTCTTCATCCCTGGAAATCTTCATGAAAGGAACAATTACCACCTAAAGGGATATTTAGGCATGCTTATACCAAGACTCTGAGGACCACGGTCTTGGCTACGTTATTTTTTGAGCTCCTTTCCAGCTCTTTCATTCTGAGTCTCAATTTATACAGAGATCTGTAGCAATCCTTGGACTTCTACAGCCCACATCAGGTGATGATGACATAACAGTGAAGTTCTATCAACAATGATGAATCAGTATTTGAATGAGTTTCTCTGTATAGCTCTCTAGAGATGAAACACCTGGGCAGAAGCACTTCTCCCACCTCCATGCAGCAAATGGTTAGTTGTGGAGGTGCTGTGCAATTTTAGAAACAAGCGACAACCTTTGCTTTAAACACGATACAAAAATGAGCTGAGTGCCACTTAGGAGGGCTGCTTCATTTTTGCAGTTCTGTGGTCTGCGGGCTAAAGTTCTGAAGGGAGGAAAAAGGCAGGTGGGCATATTTTCTGCATTTGCTAAGTGAGCCCCAAACACCTCCACTATTTATTTGTTGAAGACAGGGTCATTTCATCTAATTTAGCAGGATAACCAGTGCACCAGCAGAAGAAAGGCTGCCTCATAATCTCCTATTTGTATTTCAAATATGTATTTCAAAGGCATTTCAAATATTCTCCCAGTGGAAGAGGCTGCACAGGGAGCCAGACACAGGCCCCTGCTCCCTGCCCCATGAACAGGGTTAATTCAGGAAAGCCTTGGATTCATGAGTCCACCCTGGATGTTTTAGGTCATGCACATCGTATCTGAATGTGTAACTATGGCAAATACACATTCTGGAGCAAGTTCAGACCAGAGCACATACTACTTGGAGCTGGGCGTAAAAGAAGAATGGTAAGAAAACTCCGAATTGTTTGGGGAAATACCCCTCTCCCACCGCATTCGCCCATCTATTATTCCCTCTAGACTCGGAGAGATTTGGCGCAGGAGGCAAGGAAGGACAATAAGGAAGGTAGGAAGACGCACCCTAGGATGCTGACACCCTCTGCCTCATCCTTCTAACTCAAGGACAAGCAGGGTTAGGTTGAATACAAAGTCCCATTCAAAATTGGACGCAGGCAGAAACACACAAAAGTACATATATTTTAACAATGCAAAACCTTGTATGATCCTGTGATAGGAGCAGGAACCACCTCCATTTGGCCTCAATTCCCTTTCCTTTTCACTACCTAGGGGGCCAGTCTCTCACCTTGCAGGACTGGGTGTAAATAGCTTAAGACTAAACTTCCCGTCTTAACTTGCACTTCCAAGCTTTATTTTGCAATTTAAGAAAATGAGTCAGCCCTATCGCCTCCCCACCTGGATATTTTCTTTATTAGGACGAAGCACACCGTTATTTTCTGAGGGCTGGAGCAACCGTGCAGTCCTTCCTAATCAAAGGGTTTTCAATCGGCCTTGGCTTTGAATTCACCTCGTTCTCCAGTGGTCCCCGGAGCACATCCATCTCCGCGTGATTTCCACCCAAGTTTTTTCCTCGTAGCACCCCTTCTACATTTATTTAATCTTTAAGCCGCCTCAAATCCTTTTGTAAGGAATCAGGATACAATTCTTAAACTACAGTTATACCCCACGTCGACACTCAGGGGCACACGTTTGGGAGACCTTTGGACCGAGGAACGCATTCCTCACTCAGAGGTCTGGGGGCAGGCGCAGTGCCCAGGCAACCCCCGGCGTCTCCCTCGCCGTGCCCCAACCCCCGCCGCCGCTGCCCCTTGGAGGAGCCGCAAATCCCTAAACCAGAGCGTGAGCCCCGACTTGGGGTGCAGGTGAGCAGGGAAGTGGTCCCTGGAAAGCGTGCGCCCCTCACCTTGAGGACGGTGCGTGCAGCCGCGTCGCACTGGGCGGACCGGGCTCCCGCTGGCTCCAGAAGTCTGACTCCGAGTCCGCTCCTCTTCCTCCCGAGCTTTATCAAAGCATAGCTTCTCGCAACAGCCAGCTGTGGGCTACGCCGAGCCCGGGACACTGTCCCCTCGGCGTCCTGTGCCCGCGCGGGTGACCCCGAGGCTGCGGCGACACGGAGCCAGGAGCGCGGGGCGGGCGGCGGGCGCTGCGCTCCGCCGAGTCTGGGCGCCCGGACTAGAGAAGGAGGCGAGAGCGAGCGCGGGGAGGAGGAGGAGGAGCGGGCGCGGGCGCGGGGGGCAGCCCACGGAATCAACCAGCAGGTTGCAGGCGCCCAGGACCCCGCTGGACCGAGAAGAGGGTGGGTGGGATGAAAAGGTGAGCCAGGGTGCAATCCAGGGGGTCGTGGTGGAAGAAAACTGGGAGGTCGGAGCTCCAAGGTGCTTCAAGTCTTGCTTCGGCTGTGAAAGAGAAATTCTGCAGCTGGAGGCGCCCTCCGGGCTCTCGGTTGCAAACGCTAGAGGGCAGCGCTGTCCACGCTATAAACCTGGCCTACGGGTTGGAGATGTGGACAAGGGTCCCGCCCCCTGAGCCCTTTGCTGGCGGCGGCCCAGGTGGAGAAGGGGCCAGTTGGTGCAACGAGAGGCAGACCTCATTCCCGTCTCCTGTGGGCAGTCTGGGTTGAGGAGGGACAGGAAAAGAGGGAGTAGTCGGCGGGTTTGGAAGTTGCCTCTGCGGCTCCTCCAGGCAAACCCTCGGGAGGGCAAAATTACAGTCAACATGCGTAGGATGCTTTAAGGAGGGGGATGGGAAAGAGGGAGTGAGGGAGAAGTGGAGGAAAATAGGGGTAGAAGAAAGTGGAAGCGGGCAGAGAGGTGGGGAAAGCAGTGAAGAAAGAAGAAGGAGGTACGGGGAGGGGGGTAGGTTGGAGCTGATATTTCAGGTCGGCAGGGGGCTTTGCGCTCTTCCTCCTGGGGTTCCTGGAGCATCCACCTGCCGCAAGGCCAGAGAAGGTACCTTAGAGGGACTTTACAGAATCGAGGCACTGCTGAAGGAGGCTTCCTGAGGGCTAGTTGAGTGGCTTAAAACCTTGAAGCTGTACGTGGATTGAGACCCTGATATTTCAGGGGAAAAATCAGATTATTTGAACTACCACCCTGGCAGGTGGGACAGGAGAGATGGGAGCCATAAAATGAAATAGAAAATCTTCTGCAGACACTATGATCTGTGGACAGCCTGATACAATCTTCAGGTTGAAAGGACCTTGGAGCCCCTGTAGACAGCTCATGAAGTTCCCCCAGATACCAGCCTCACGCTCGCTTTTCTTGTCTGTAGTCTCACGGCTGAATGGAGAAGGCCTTCCCCCCCCCCCCCCCCCCCCCCCCCCGGTAGTTTGGCAATTGTAAAACAAATAGAGTCCTTTTTCTTTAATTCAGAAAGCAAGCATGTGTGCCCTCCTTCCTGCCTTCTGGAGCGCCTCTTAGGATCAGGAGCGGCTGGGTGATGGGTGGGAAGGGGAACCTCACTGAACAAGAGAAAGGACGGTTGGTACGCTATAGTCTTGAGCTGTGATTTGTTTCTGTTAATCCTATTACACTTAGAGAAAAGGCTTAAGTGGACATAACAGGAGGATGGGATGGAAGGATATTTCCCTGCCAAAGAAAGATGGTGCTTCTATTTTGAAAAGTGTTTGATGATGGAGGTGTTATGTAAAAATAAAAAGAATAAGAAAAAACAAACAGAATAAGAATCATTCCTCATATTTAAAAAGAATATCCTAGGATCAACGTGTTTTAGATACCCCAGGAGAGGACATGGTCTTACTCTGGCACCTCTGGAGTCCTTCCAAGAGATAAAGGAAATTTGAGTTCATTCTGTTCTTTTTGAAGAATTTAGCTTACCTATTTGGTTATTACAGCATCAGCAACTATGAAAACATGTTATTCACTGGGAAACCCTCCTGAACACAGCTCAGAACATCCCTGCTTTGGCAGATCTCAGCTTCATGAGGTTCATGGTTATTCTCAAGTTATTAATTAACCCCTGGGATATATTTTTACTAGTTTTAATGAAAGTCAACATCCACTTAGTTAGGAGCTGGTAATTCAATTTGTGTATTGCTCATTTGAATTTCCATGGGCTCTGTGAGTGCTTTAAGATTGTAGGTATATGTAAATCACATGCCGATTTCATAATGGAGAATTCCTTGTCAGTTTAAAAATATCTATAAGGATTGAGTTGGAGTCCTGGGTACAGGGCATAACAAATTCATTAACTCGAAGTGAGAACTCAAAAGTCATTTATGAAGGAATTAACTGATCAAATTCATTCATTCACTCAAAAAATGTTGGTAAACATCTACCCTGTTCCAGGCATGAGCCAGCTTCTAGGAATACAATAAAGAAGATACAGTTTCTTCTCTTACAGACCCTAGAGTCTAGTGGAAAGACTGATTCACAAACTGCTAAGTCCAAACCAAGGTAACAGTTGGGTGAAGGCAGAAGTACAAGTGCTGTGGGAGCACAAAGGAGGGCAGTCTCATCCAGCCCTGAGGATCAGGGACTAATAGCTGGAGTTGGGGGTGGTGGTTGTGTGTGTATAGGAGGAGGAGTGGTTGATATTTGTGGGGAGTGGGAAAAATGATGAACAATGGATTGCCTCCATCCCCAAGACACATCTCAGTCACATTTGTTAGCTTTCCACTTGGATGCTGGAAACTTACTTTCATATATGAGGAAGCAAGCATGCACATGCTGCATTTTCCTGCTAGGAGTTAGACTAGAAGCTTCTTAAGGTAGGGACTATGTATGACTTGTTCATCTCACCAGTGCAGAGAAAAGTCAAGACCCTAGTAGACATTTGTCTGTCGTTTCCTCCTCCACCGTAGAAGTGGAAATAAAATGGGAAGGGGAGGAGTTGTGATGGGGAGGGAGCTCACAGATATTGAGCTTGCACCTTCCTAGGTGCACTCCATATGTTATTGCATCAAACAATCCCAATAACCCCATGACATAGTTCTTATCTTTTTCACTGTTGGTTTCACAGAATAAGCTTCAAATTGCATTTTATGTCTGTGGAGTGACAATGGCCAGAGGATGAAATGTCTATAGGTAGCTTTCTGCATTAGTCAACTTCCAATAAGTTATGCTATGGTAACAAAGCATGTTGGCTGTGGATCAACTGCAGGTCGACTCGACGTGTTCAGTATGGGACACAGGCCGGTGAAGCCAGACCATTCTCATGGCATAGGGAAGAGTAATGGTGGAATATTATAATGGTCCCTAAAGATTTTGCTTCATTGCAGGATAAATCACTTCTGCTCACATTCCATTTGCTAAAGCAAGTTATATGGCTGAGCCTGAATTTTTTGAATAAAAAGTATATTTCCTCCACTGGGAGGAATCCCAGGGAGGGGTTCTGTAGAGATGAGCCTGAGAGTGACAAAATATTGTGAACAAATTATTCAGTTGACAACTGTTTTGAACAATGCTTTTGAATGAAGGTATTTTCTCTTTAAAAATGCTTATTTATTGACTGTTTTGGTTCATGGTATTCACCAACCTCAGGATACAGAGAGCCAAATAATGAATCTAGGTTGATTAACTTAGTTGATTAGAACATGTCATCAGGGTCCAAACTTTATAGGAACAGTTGGCCTTGCACTAAGAAAAAACTCCATTCTCTGGCCACAAACTGGCTATTTCTCATGTTGGCATATGTTAATATTTGTTCTCATGAAGAAATAAGTAAGGCAGACTAGGTGGATTAGGACAGACCCAACATGGAACTAAACCTCAAGCTCTGATGGCACTGACACTGGCTCATGATCAACACACATCTTCGTGGAAAGTAGTCATGAGAAGCAGCTCACTCAGTGATGAATAGAAATAGTTCACACATTTTCAATAAATGTTTCTTGAATACCTCCAACCTGGAAGTTTGAAAAACATATACGTGGTCCCTGCCCTCAAGAAGCTCAATGTGAGGGTAGGTGAAGGCACTTAACATGAATTCCACGTGAAAGAGCTGAAGGAGCAGAGAAGCCTGTAAGGAGGAATTGGGGCAAAGCTGGATTTGGAAAGCTATGTAGAGTATGACTGGGCTCTCTTGCTGTAGGGCTAATCTTTCTGCTTTGGTACCTGTCTTCCTGCTCCCGGGAAAAGCAGCTCAGGGGTGAACACGTTGTCTATGGTCATAGAGATGGGATGTGCTGAGCTGCGGTTGGAACCCATGCCTGGCTCTAAAGCCTGTTCTTCTCCATTCCATTGCCGTGTGTTCCAGAGAGGGACTGATGGAGCTCCAAGGAAAGCTTGGTTATGGGAATGAGTGTGCTGGGGGACTCAGGCTCACGAAAGCAGCGGACTCCTGTGGGAGTGTTTGGCAGTGAGGGTGGGTGTGCATGGGGGTGAACCAATCACAGAGTACCTTAAAATGTGTTCACTATTTTTAATTTTTATTAGTAATACGATTACTTTCTGTAGAGATTTACAACTTTCAAAGCACTTTCACTGTCTTCACAAAACCCAGCAATTTTAAATTGTTTGTAAAGAAATAAATATGGTTTATAACATAATATATTAGGTGACAATAACATCTTAACCTTATATTTATTTATTTTTATAGCTTTGTTGAAGTCTAATTTATATAACATAATGTTCACCCATTGTCAGTGTACAATTCAATGGTTTTATTAAATTTACACAGTTGCGCAGCCATCAGCACGATCCAGTTGTACCACATCTCCATTGCCCTAACAAGTTCCCTCATGCCATTTGCAGTCAATTTCCCCGTTCCCAGCCCCCAGTCCTAGGCAACCACCGATCTGCTTTATGTCTCCATAAATTTGCAGACCAGTGTGTACAAATATGCAATATTTTGCGTCTGGCTTCTTTTACTCAGCAAAATGTCCTTGGGATCATTCATATGTAGCACATACCAGGAGTTCCTTCCTTTCAACTGCTGAATTGTTTTCCATTGTATGGATATGGCACATTTTTAAAAATCCAGTCACCAGTTGCTAAACATTGAGCAATTCCTTAACTTTACGTAGCACTTTTAAATTTACAAATCACTTTGACATACATTATCTTAATCGACCTTCATGAATCGTGGGAAGAAGTTGAAGCAGGTTGTTATTCTCTTTTTATAATGACAGTAAAGATGATAAGAGTAGCTGACATTTATTGAGCACTTACTATTTGCAGCACTGCACTAAACATGTGTATTAACTCATTTAATCTTTGCAACAACTTTATGGGGAAAGGGCTATTCTTAGGCTCATCTCTTAGATTGGTTGACTGGTTCAAGGAGGTTAAGTAACATTCCCAAATCTTTGCAGCCGGTAAGTACAAAACTGAGGTTTAAAACCAGGCAATCTTGGGGCTGGCCTTGCAGCGTAGTGGTTAATTTCGCACACTTTGTTTCAGTGGCCCGAGGTTTGAGGGTTCAGAT